AAACAACCACACACACACAAAAACCTAACCAGCCTAAAACCGATTATATATATATATATATTTTTAAACCTTCTCGAGAAGCAACAAGCTCCCCCGCTCCTCCTCGGGGAAGCACCTTGGAGGCACCGGGCGGCCGGGGGGACGCACCGAACCCCGACCTGCCCCCCGTCCCGCCGCCCAGCCCCACCACAGCTCCCGCCGCGAAACCCGGTCGCCTTAGCCCCGCTGCCCAACATGGCTCCGGCCGCCTCCCGTCTGCCCCTGGAGCCAGCGGCGGCGCCGGCACCGCTTCCCGGGGCTGCTCCTCCTCAGCGGGTCCGCGGCGGCACCAGCAGCGGCGGCGGCACCAGCGGCAGCGCGGGCGGCGGTATCCGGAGCACGTAACTAACCCCGCCCCCAGCCCGCCCGCCCGCCGTTCCTACGGCACCGCCTCCCCGCCGCGCCCGTTCTCACTGGGCAGCGTCGCTGTCAGTCACAAGCGCGCCCTCCTCTGATTGGCAGCAAGGGTGGCGGGGAGGAGGCCAAGCGGGGCGCGGTCCGGCCCGGCCGCAGGGGGGCGCTGTTCCCCGTAACCCCGCCGCCGGGCCTGGGGGACCAGGGGGCCGCAGGGGTGGGAGCGGTGACACACTGCGTCGGGCGGTACCGAAGCACCTCTGTGAGGGCCTGAGGGCCTGGGGAGCTGGGGCCTGGGGGCAGTGCCCCACAGCATCGGGTGCTGTTGAGGAGTCTCTGCCTGAGGGCCTGGGTCTGGGGCCCAGGGGGCCTGGGGTATCTGGGGGTATCTGGGGCCTGGGTCGGCAACCACAGGGCTGGGAGCAGTGCCTCACAGCATCAGGCACTGTTGAAGGATCTCTGTCATTGCTGGGGACCAGAGGACCTGGGCCTGGGGGCAGTGCCCCACAGCATCGGGCACTACTGAAGCACCTCTGTCAGGGCCTGGGGACCAGGGGGCCTGGGGTATCTGGGGGTATCTGGGGGTATCTGGGGCCTGCTTCAGCAGATGCAGGGCTGGGAGCAGTGCCCCACAGCATCGGACACTATTGAGGCTCCTGTGTCAGTGCCTGGGGGCCTGGGGAACTGGGGGCTGGGGGCAGTGCCCCACAGCATTGACCGCTATTGAAACACCCCTGTCAGGGCCTGGGGACCAAGGGGACTGGCAACCTGGGGTCTAGGTTGGCAGCTGTGGGGCTGGGAGTAGTGGAGCAGTGCCCCACAGCACTCGGCGCTATTGAAGTGCCCCTGTCAGTGCCCGTGTGGGTGAAGAGCACCCCCTTTTTGGTGCTTCGTGGACGGCAGCAGTGCCTGAGGGGCAGCCACCTCCTTGGGTTTCTTCTCCCACCCCTGGGCATGGTGCCGGCTGCCTGTGTGTGACTGGAGTGTCTCCTGCACGGCTTGTCCTATGGCATAGAGCGCACAGCTTGGGCTAACTGGCTTCCCACTGTTTTTTTTTCATTTCAGGGTAACCATGTCTTTTTTCTGTACCATTACGAAGACTGACCACTCTTGCCTATTGTTGGGTTCAGTTGTCACTTTAAGTCATCCATCGTGCTGCTTGTTACACAGCTGCAAAATGCTTGTGTTGTATACGTGCACACTCACAAGAAGACTCAAGTAAAATCTAAACAAAGCACTGAGATGCTGAGTTTTACTTATAGCAGGAGATGTGCAAGGAAAATGATGTAGAATGGGCTCTCCATTTAAATAATCCTCTAAAAATACTCTAAATTATTGGAGTAATATTATATACAAATTTTTATTTTATACAAATTGTATACAATTTTTAGAGTATTATTATATATAAACTTCTATTGAAGTTTGTAAAGTATGTTTTATTTTTGTAGATAATTAAGTCTACCCTTTTTAGAAGATTTTTAGCAGTCCTTTAAAATCCAACTGCTGGTACACCCCAAGAAGTCCTCTGCCCAACATCTATTAAAGTGTTACAGCCTCAGCCTCCCAGGAATGTGTCTTTGGACACTGTATAATCAGAGCTGTAAATAAACACCAGGTTTACCAGGTATCTAGGTTACTTTTAAAAGCTTAACTTTTATGCGGGTGCAGAACAATGCAAATATTGTGAACTGCCCGTGGCAATGCAGCAGGACTACCCAGCAATTTAAATGACGAATGGTAACCCAGGTGACAATTTGCATACAGAGTAGACTTTATGAAAATAATTTTACAAAAATAAAACATACTTTACAAACTTCAATAGACCGTGGGATATGAAAATGAATAGCTCCTTCAAATATTAATGATAAGCACTCTTCATATCGCTCCCCCTCTTTTTGTGGTAATACTTTATTTGCCTTGCTCCAAACCCAGACTTAGGAAAACCAAAGGAGAAACAAAAGTGGTACATAGAGTCATAAGACTGCATCTAGAAATATAAAATGGAATTACTGTTTTAATTCAGAAATAATTTCCCTATATTCAGTCTCAAGGAATGAGAAGTCTTTTGGATTTAATCACCTTCTGCCTGGAAAGAAAAAAAACTCAGAGATTAGGTTTCATTAGTAGTTTTACAACAAAGGCTGTTCTGGTGTGGGGTCCCACGCAGATGATCTCTCATGTTTCACTCCACAGCTGCTTCCATATCATTCCTTTACATTGCATCTGACCTCAGCTGCACAGGTCAACAGTGCAGCCCGGGAGATTCAGTGGTGTAAATCGAGGGCGAGGGAAAAACTGGGATGGCCCCTCCGAGCTCTCTAGTGTATTAAAATACAAAAAGAAAACAAACAGCACCATAAACAATAATACATTTCACAGCATCTGAATTTACAGTGGCAACAGCAGGATTATCTCAAGGCATACCTTGAAGTTTTCAGCAGACTCAGGCAAAAAGCAGTACTGACTGGTGTAGCACGTATCAGAGAGGAAGGGATGTTTTGACCCTGGGCCAGAGTCTTAACTCCGATGGGAAGTGCAAAAGGAGCCTTAATTCCCACAGAGCACATGGGAATTCATTCTTCAGCATCTCATCAAAAAAATCCCTACATCCCCAAAATCGGAATGCAATCGCTGTTCTGCATCAGCAAAATATCCACAGAGTCCCACGTCCTGTCCTTGGTAATGGTTTGCTCCCCAGGCTGTCAAATGTGCTGGGCTGAACCCGTTGCAGAAGGGATTTGAAGCCTTTTTCCTGGAATCTGAGGGTCAGATTCAGATCCCCACTTCATCTTTTCTGGAAAGGGAGAAACAAAGCTACTACACACGGAAGTTAACTTACCTCAGAAAAGTAAATTTGCATCTGAAAAGGCAGCTGCAAGCCAGCCACGAGGCCCCACCGAGGGCTTTAGGGATATCCCCTTTCCCTGGAAGACTTCTGTGTAGTCTTCTACACAGAGAAGGGTCCAGAGAAGGGACACGAAGCTGGTGAGGGGTCTGGAGCACAAGTCTTACAAGGAGCGGCTGAGGGAGCTGGGGCTGTTGAGTCTGGAGAAAAGGAGTCTGAGGGAAGACCTTCTCACTCTCTACAACTACCTCAAAGGAGGGCATGGGGGTCGTTCTCTTCTCCCAAGTCAGAGGCAATGGGACAAGAGGAAATGGCCTCAAGTTGCACCAGGGGAGGTTCAGGTTGGATATTAGGAAAATTTTTTACACTGAAAGGGTTATAAAGCATTGGAATGGGCTGCCCAGGGAAGTGGTTGAGGCACCATCCCTGGAGGTGTTCAACAGACGGATAGACATAGTGCTTAGTGGCATGGTTTACTGATGGTTTTTTTTGTTGGCTTTGTTTTTGGTTTTTTTTTTAATTAGAGTCAGGTTGATGGTTGGACTAGATGATCTTAAAGGTCTCTTCCAATCTAGACAATTCTATGATTCCATGATTCTCCCTTTCTCTTTTAAAATCTTGAGCACCTGTGTGGAATACTCACAGAAGCCAGCTTCAGCCCAACCACCTAATCCCGGGAAGTTCCCCCTGCAGAGACAGTGGTGGGAAATAGGCTCCTTCTGAAGGAGGGTACTGGATGAGGGTACTGAAATAAACTCCTTGTTCAGAAGCAGCCCTGAGAGCCTGCCCAGTGCCTTGGGCACCTTGGGAAATCAGCTTGGCCAGGCTGAAGTTGGCTTTTCTGAGTGCCCCCCTTCCCCACCTCGTCTTTACACTCCCCATGTAGTCCTTTACTGCCTCTCATTTATGTATTTATTTATTGACTTTTCTGTTATTTTCACATGCCTGCTCCCTCCAGCATTTTTACTCTGTAGTGCATTTCTGAATCACCCCTTCCCTGTGAGGAAATAAGATTGTTCAGCGTTGTATCATTTGGGATTGTTCTCATCACCAACAAATACTTTTTAAAAAGTCATTTCTGCAACAAATTGAAGTTCTTGGGTTGGTGTATTAACAGGATCTGTCTCCCATGTTACTTCTAAATGGGAATTCTTGTTCCATGCTGCCAATTACTTCTGTCCGTTGAAAAACACAAGTGAGGTTATAAAATCACATAATTCAGTTTTGTTCAATTTTAAATGTGTAACAATGACAGCCATGTAAATGTCGAAGAGTGAAACGTTTAAAAAGTCAAGTTCTAGTTTTTCTGTGGTGGGTGAAGAATATATGGCATTTCACTGCCCCCATTTTGTCCTGATATTTTGCATTCTTTCCAAAAATATAATCACAGTATTTACCTTTGAAGCTGTCTGCAGGAGGGAAACTCACAGACCAGCCCTGCTCTTCCCATGAACAGAGACTGCTTTGTTTAAAAAACTTACATGCCACTAATTTGAGTAATTCTTTGAGCTGAATTCTCAGCTGTGCCCAGGCTCGGTGAGAACAGCTGATGGAGGGGAGGCACAAAGGAGCTGTTTGCAGCTTTTCTGTCAGTTTTCTTTCAAGGATCCTCTTGACTACAACAAGTTGTATTTCATATTTTCCTTTGTGGCACTCCTCCACATCAGGCTTGCCTTGGCTCTGGGAGATGAGGAGCCTGGATAAGGCATTATCTCAGGCAATATCTGCAGTGCAGTTGGCAAAGGTCGCTGAATGTGGCTTTTATACCACATTTCAGCTTGTCTGAGCCTGGGGCTTTGTAAACCTCAGTTTCTTGGGGAGTCCCAAGGGTGCTTGGATGGGCAGGGGTGCAGGTCACTGTGCCTTGTGCTTGCTTTGGTGTAGGTTGGGCAGGCGTAACAAATCAAGTGTTAAAAGCCATTCCTGAGCCTTGAGCAAACTTGCGTGACTACACCTGAATTTCTACTCTCCATTTCCTCATTTTGAAGGAAACAAAGG